AAAATATTTGTACTATAAATTTTCTAGACTCAGGACGATAACTGATTCGCATAATGCTAGTGTTGCCAAATATTAGTAGTGACGTACACAAAGGTTGACTATTCGATTCGTTTCTGATCGAACAATTTTTCTTTTCTCCCTTTTTAGTTAGAACATGTTCTAACTAAAAAGGGAGAAAGAAAAGGGTTCGTCTAAAAGTCATTTTACGATCTTCTTTTGAGCACAGTTTTCTTTACTTGGAGACGGGCCACTTCGACGGGAGTGTCAGTAGAATCTGCCAGCTCGATGCTGCTCTCAACAATCGGATAGCTGTTGTCTGAATCTAGACGTAATTATTCACACAATACCTTACAAGGTAACTCTAGCTGTCTTGTAACTCAGTCGAAAGACCTCAAAAAAGTGTCCGGCGATCTCTGTCCATTCGCGTTTAAGGGGATCGTCCGGTCCAATCCAGAGCAGGCTCAGTAACTGGCATTCAGGTCCGCCTAAGACGAAATCGACGTGTGATACGTCCTGCCGTACTGATCCTATCCGAAAAAGCCGAATTGCCCGAGCAAAAGACAAAATCCCTTTGTCTCTGCCAATCGTTAGGCCTACACAACATTAGTGTACGTAGTGCCCACATATTTTTGAAAGATGACTACTGTATCTGTCTTTTATATTAATTAATCATATAAAATTGTTTATATACATTTTTATTTAACTTTGTTTTTTATTCTGTGTCTAAGTAAGATATTATTTGTCAATTTTCACTCACTTTCTTTTTTCGATCTAGTTGAAACTTTGCACACGTAGGTATTTTGGATAACAATACGTTTCTAACTAAACGTTCGCTTTAGCTTTCGGGCTAAGCGATTATGGCTATTAATAAACATGGTCTAAGTAAACAGGATATATATAGAAATTTAAAGAGTACGAAAATAGAAGTAAAAAGAGTTTTTATATTTTCATTTATTATAGAATGGCAAAAAGCTTCATGTGACCAGAAGGTCGGCATCTGTTTAGTGCCTCGTCAGGACGAACACACTGTGTCTTTTAGGATAAACACAAAAACCTTAACAGCCGCAAATTCGGAATTTGCGCAAGCTGTCACGTGCGCGGGCGACTGAATTCGGTATGAAGGAGAGTTGACAGACGGCGGATTGGAAGAAGTGCACAATACAACTTAATTAGGACGGAAATACCCGTTTATTTATATAAATACTGTATATATTTACACTTATACACAAGGTAAAAGAGAGCTCTGTTTAACTTTCTAATAGAGAGTTAAATTGTCTATAGCTATATTGCGGCACCTGAGATTAACGAATTCCTAGCCGAGAGAGAGAGAGAGCTTACAATATATTACACGCTAGGCGAAATACCATAATCGGTGGCTTGATTGTCGTGTCGTTGATCGAAAATCGTAGAGGTGGCAACGAGGTGATAACTTCTCAGTCTGTTTTTGTTTCTGCTGTGTCTTTTGTATTGTCTAATCTGTATTGTCTAATCTCCTTCCAACGATCTTTTTGTATCGTCTAATCTCCTTCCAACGATCCAAGAGATCCTCTTGGATCTCTTGGATCGTTGGAAGGAATTCGTCAGCTTGTCAGCTTCGGGAACGGCAGCATGATCGAAACGGTGATCGAGAGATGGTAGAAAAAAGGACGAAACCGTCAGCGACAGAGCAATCACGTCAAAAAAAAGGGAAGTCCGATCGGAAAACTCTCGACGACCCCTCGTCCTTGAGTCACTCTTTTTTATATCCTCAAGCCACGTTATCCATTTTTATCAATAGTGATTTTTGTTATTAGTTCTTCATGACACATTTGCTGGGTTCTCTGGGAAAGGAAACGACTCCACGGAGAAAGATGCATTCATCCTCCGATCCTTTGATTTTTCCGGAACCCTTTACTTCGAAAGACTAAAAGTGAATTTTTTATCAAAAATTTCGACAAATCCGGTCTCTCACATTAATTTTCAGGATAGAGATGAATTTTATTTAAAAAAATCGTAATTATTAATAACAAGTAGAATCTTTATTAAGTCTGACCCTACTCGAGATAGATGATCCACAATCTTTTCGATCTTTAAAAGTGTGGTCTTTAGATACAGGATTCAAATTTGACAGCATCGAAACAGTATCTCACTGCAGGTGACAATCGTAACAAATAAGGAATTACGGTCGACCAAAAATACACTTCGTTTTCAGAACATAAGGATGGGAACCACATTGAGCAGTGTACGCATGCATAAATCTCTGTGTTATGAGCGTTTTGTACAAATAAAATATTTTCTGTTCGCAGTGTGGAAATCGCCATAGTGACATTTAGTACTAACGTTTGTACGCAAATGTCATCTGAATGTTCAGAAATGTCCTATAACCAATTATTGTATTTCGACTGCTGAATATCTGTGTATACAGACATGAATGCAATTTCTTAAGTTACTATTATTCAATATTTAGGAGTTGTTATACTACTGATTTTTATATTGTTAATGCGCTTTCACAGAATATTTCGTTCTTAACGATGTGAAATGTGCAAAATAGACAAATGTCTTCGTTCATAACAGAATGAAAATATTCGCTTACATTACATTTAGAACGACAATTTTCTGTTGAAATTTTTCGGGGTTTTCGGCATGTCTGCTAGAAAATCGCGTTGTTACGTGTGACGGATATTTTTCGTTTGTTTTTAACAGTTTTCATCAAACGTCCAAAATTTCGGTTGCTATATTGTAATGTGTTTCGTTCGACGTCTCTACTTCTACTTGCAGTTTAATATACAGTATTTAGAAATAAATGAATTGAAAATTTTTATTTAATTCTACGTTCTATATTCTCATTTTTTTCAGAAAATTTTAAAATCAATTTATTCACAATTACTGCAAACCATATAATTGCTCATTTCAACTTTTCTTTTACTGGAATTTTATTTTTGTGTATTGTATTCTGTGTAAAAATATTAATACTAGCAGTTAGGCCCGGCGTTACTCGAACAAAAACTAACGATAACGAAGATTAAAATTATTACGTTATAGTCAATCTTACCGTTTTCAAAAAATGCAAGAATTAGGTTCCACTGTTTCCAGACTAATTAGAGAATTTTTAGATGGATTAAAAAAATGTTCGATTTTCCTCAAAAACGAAAAAACTGCATCTACGCCTGTAAATCTTGCACGTCGCTTTCTCTTAACACTTCCATTGTTAAAACTTTTATTGTTGACACTTCCATTGTTAACACTTCCATTTTTGATACTTCCATTGTTACTTGACACTTCCATTGTTAACGCTGCCATTGTTACTTAACACTTCCATTGTCGAAACTTTAATTTTCTCTCTCTCCCCCGAGGAAAAAATTTCAAAAAAATCCCTTCTTAGTATACGTTTTCGTGACGTACCCTAACTGTGTACCAAATTTCAACTTTCAACTTTTAACCGTTTGGGCTCTGCGCTTATTATTATTATCATTATCATTATCAACTGGTCTCGATTATATATTCGATTGTAATCTAAGTATTCATATTTTTTTTAATTGCATGTAATGTTCTAGAATTTATTTAATCAAAATACCGGGAATTTGTGATTAAATTCCTATGTCTTTTGTATATGGAGTAATTTTTTGAGTGAATTTTTTTATTAAAATACGAATATTAACTCCATAAAATATTTGGAATCTGTAGAAATTGTTAGATATGTCAAAACTCGAGTTTAGAGAAGTGTAAAATGTCTGACACAACATTGAAAAATTGAAATTTTCAGTTTAGCTTTAGAGTTTCCAATGGAATTTTTTGATTTGCTATTAAAATGTTAATCTTTGAATAGTCGTTACACCTTTTAGGCATCTTATAAAATTTGTAAGTACTGTTAGAAATTAATTTAAAAAGAAAATGTGTCAAATATACTTTAATTTACAGTTTCAGAAACTTGGAATGATATATTCAAAGTACTAAATTTGGGTATTTGGTGAAAGAAGCCATCTCAGTTAATAGAAACCCATTATTAAATGTGTAGTGTTTAATTATCTGTTTACTTATACATTTATACTTTCTATACAAATGAATCTAATGTCTGTCGTCTCAAGCTATCTGTCGTAAACATGGCGTAAATTGAACTACTTCAAACAATAAAAATCACATACAATGATAAGGATGTCATTTCCAGTGTTGCAAAATTATCGTAGAATCGAGAAAGCAAGGAAATCCTTAACATTCCGAATCTTGAAATTCTTTACATAACTGACTCTATCAACTATTACACATTTACACTATCTTCTAGAATTAATAAAAAAATTTAGGAACTGGGATTTATCTATTTTAATAAGAGTTATTAATATTTTTATAGAAAATATCAACTAAATTTGGATATTTTGAATAAATGTCAAAATATAAAAATTGTTTATACGACATTCTCGGCGTTGGTGTTGTGTTCTATGTCGTTATATTACTATAATTGAATATGTTAGCATAACTTTTGCTCTATGATAGACTTATCAAACACTGTTGACTCAACAGAAGTTACACAGAGTTATATGAACATTGGTCATTCATTATAAAAACATGTTGGAATTTCAGATATTTTACCTAAAATATTATACAAAAAGTTTAATTATAATTACAGTTGCTATTATAACATTTTCAGTATTAGTGAAATCTTCTATTCGAAAAGTTATTATGCTAAATTGGATCGAATTACTGTGCATTTGCAAAGCATCACTAAATATCAGTTGCAGTCAGCTGTAGAACACGCATTTGACAGCCGAAAAATAAGGCACAATTTCCAATTTTTGGATTTCGTGTGTTTTATATTTTTAATCTGCTTTAATAAAACATCGGCTAAGGTAAATATACAAAAAATTAAACAAGGATGATACTATAAATTGCAATGTTTAAATTTCTATTTGCTTAAATACATACAAATCAGTTTCTGTACCGATAAAAACAAATTTGTACAATAGCGAAAGTCTTGATTTATTTATACGTACGGTAAATAATTAACGTAAATTCAACTCACTCACAAATTCAATATGGATTCTTTTTAGGTTTTATTTAAAGGAATGACAGGCATATTTTAAATAGTAAATAAATAAACAAAATTATATCCATGTCAAAAATCTTTTAAATTAATAAAAACTGGAATATATAAATCGTTGATTATTTTGATATATTCTCGAAAAATACACGCTCATTGCAATTACAATTTAGATTTGATACGTATAGCTTTTTAATAGAAAAGGTCTCTGCAATATTCTAATTATATACTTAAACGCATGAGTCCTTTTCACAGCGGTAACGATTTATAAAATCAATATTAACACTGGTTGATAGGTAAATATCTGGTTCTTTGTCAGTATTGCTTGGGTTAGTCAAAATGCCAATGAGAATTTGTTTTCCTGATTTATTTGTGAATATCAATGGTGAGCCATATTCGCCCTGTAAACAAAAATAAACTCTTATAATTAAAAGGATAATATTAGCTATAAAGTCTATGTCGAAAATGGTAACTGCTTTACTTTCACTACTTTTCCTTCAGATGGTACTGCTACAATTTCTTCACCAGTTATGGACATTCCAAACTGACGAGCAGCGCTTTGTGGATCCATTAAATTCGCTTCCGCTACTTGAAGAAAATTTGTATCATGATCTGTATGTAAATTATAAAAAGAAAATTTATTTTATTTTTATTCCCGTATTATATTTTATATAATACAGACAATTGAAATACTTACCGGAATTTTTTGTTTCCCAACCGACAATCTTCACCAAACCATTAGTAAACATTTCGTTACTACCAGGTAGATCAATTGGGAGCATATTATGGACAGGTTCTTGAAGAATCAGAAGCGCAATATCATGGACATTCCCTACTAAACCGTGATCTGGATGTATAAATTTTTTTGTAAACGTCAAGTTCGTCCCTTCATATTTGTTTTTATTACCAATTCTTCCATAATAATCATGAACATCATTGCTGAATTAAAAAGAAAATTAATTAAATAATCATGAGAAAAAACGATAAAATAGAGTGAAACATTATTAAAATACTTTTCTTGAACATATTCTTATGGTATCTTTTTCTCTGCTACGTGTTATTTCTAAAGTAGAAATGCCATTATTCAACATTATGAATTACTACTTTGTGCATACTTGAAGACTTTTTTCTAGAAAAATGCGTGAGATTTCTATTTCCCAAATTTAGCCATATATGGCAGTTGATTTAAGATTATTTTTAGCATCACTAGATATTCAGGAATATCTTACACACCGATTATTCCTAAATAATTAGTGATGTTGAAGATGCTTGGTGTCTACCTATACATCTAGTTATGAAGTGAAAAAATTAAAAAAAAGACACGGTTTTTCGAAATAAATGAAAGATTAGAACCACTCAGCACAACTTTTACATCAAATTATAGTAAATATTAAAATATTAATTATTCATGTTATCAAAAAATTATGTTGCTGAATATACAGATAAGCAAAAAGTCCGTAAAAATTTTAAACATTCACAAAAAATGGAAAAATTATAAAATGCGGTTTGCGTGGTGAATATTGCCAGCAAGGTGCTTTTGGTTAACGGGAAATCAGTTCCAAATGCTGCCGGTAAGCGGTGTTGACATATAAAACCATGAAAAATGATAATAAAAATATTGTGTTTTAATGTCTTTATTAAACAAATGTTTAAACTCGGGTATAACACAATTATGTGAAGCAAATGCCCGCACCTGCAAAGTGCAGCTTGTCAGGGAAGATGAATGTTTCCTTGCACCGAGTATAATTTTTCAATTCCAAGAATATGATAGGGTCTGATAGAAACAATCGAGAATTTAGATACCCCAGAATGAGAAATCACATTGAAAGTCATCTTCATTGTCGTTTATACATGGACTCTGTGTAAACATTGTATGTAAACGCTACCTGTCAGTAGAACTTGGAACAAATTTTTCCCTCTCAAAAAGTTTCCCTGCTGACTACCCTCGTTTCATTCCGATAATTATTACATTTGTACTTTTGTACACATGGAAATAAAAAAAATTGAAATCGTATCAAATTTCACTCTCCCTGCAGTGGGGAGATAGAGAAGGGGATTTATATTTTACGTCTCGAGGGTCAGGCTTACTAAAAATTTTACTCGTTATTAAGATTTACAATTTTTTATAAAACCCATCTTTACCCTTAAAATGAAGGTGTTGCTATTTTATAATAATTAACACATGAAGAGATTTTTAAATGAAATATGTTAACAGATGGCGAAACACGCAGTATCAAATGTTTCTGGGAAAGTTAAGCTACTAGTTGCTAGATTTTTTACAGCTACTAATAATAAGAAATATAAAGGTCAACATTTATTTATTGTTATTCAATTTTAAACTATATTCAAGTTTATAGTTAACCAATATTATACCAAAATATTCATTATTAAATAGCCTTCCTGCAAACAATTCTAATAAAAATTAATATAAACACACCTTTCTACAATTTTCGCTGCTCCTATTAAAGTGCGTGAGTTGATTAAAGAAAAACCACCTACAAAGTCATTTTTCAGGAATATTGCTGCCTAAATTAAATTAATTTTCTTAATAAGTATAGTAGCCTTAATAAAACTGTTTGCACCTATAGACTTACTATAAAAGCGAACTCAGCAGTATTTGCGGGCGATCCTCCAACCATCTTTCGTTCAATTACTAAAATTATACAAAATTGTTTACAGTCAATTATTATTCTTTCACTCAAATACTATGTTAATTAATATTCTTACACGTACCTGGTTTAGACCCATTTCTTTCAGAAACACACAAAAAATAGTCAATATTTAGAAGAAGCAATATTCCAAATCTGTGATTTGTAAGCATTAATAAAATGTTTGGAATCAGAATTAATACGTTAGAAATTCCATAATAAATCATACATTGCAATCACATTATAACTTTCTTAACAATTGAAGGGCTTAAAAACACAAGAAGGTAACTGACATTTTCGTGAAATTTGAGTTAATAGTTTGGAAGCCAGAGATAAATGCCTAGTAAATGCTTTAATTAAGACTGACCACCATCTATTCTGAAGTTTTGTGGTGGAAGAAGACGGTTTGCAACACAGATGTAATATAGTATTTATAAAATATCTGAACTCAAACTTCGCAATACCATTCTGCTAGTTATCTCCTTTCACTAAGACCTTCAATTTAAGTTTGCGATATAAATAAAAATTAAATTTTTACACAATTATTACAGTACAAAGATATAAAAAACACACCTTAAGAAGTTCTTCATACTTGAAACGCAAAGTGGAAGTTTTACTTATTGTTACTTCTTGACAGTACCTAAAAATAATTGCTTGTAAAATATAGAAAATGATAATCCTGGTTCACATTAAGATATATTAGCTAAAACCATCTCAAATTTATCTAAACGAGTAATTAATAAACGCACACATACTAAGTACGTGTAATTACTGTTTTCCCTGCCTAGTTTTTAAACAAAACATATAAGGTAAATCAGTTAGATGGTGGAAGGTGTGAGTGTAAATTTTATTTAGGAATTAATTGAATTGTGTTTTCTTATTATAGCAAACAAAACAGAAACAGAGAAAATATAATGTTTTTTGAAAAACAAATTTGAAAAAACAAAATATAATTTTTGCTAACTCACCATCTCAACGTTAGAGGGTTTTTTTAACTCTTTCCGTCCTGTGGGCACTAACAGGGCCTCTTTTTGCAAGCCCATTATGGGTTCGGCCAGGCCTACAATGGCGCTGCCGGGTGGTGAGGGACGGGGGTCCGACATATCTGAACGGACCATTCCCCGAAAAATTCCTGGGGATTTTTCGACCCGTTCGAATTCGAACCCGGGTCCCCCAGAGCAGTAGGCTGCCACCTTGACCGCTCGGCCATCCGGCCGCAAAAAATACCGTTAGAGGGGTGGGAGTGAGTTAGTGAATTGTTTAGTGATGAGCAGACTACTACAACATACACCTTATTTTTGACCGATTAGCACAGATTAGACTTATTATTCAAGGTTCTAAAGTATTACAGTACATGCAAGTTTTGTTACTGTAATACAAAAGTCGTATGCTTATCTTTAATTAAAATTTTCAAGGCTACATTAAACGTTCAAAAAATTCTAAAATCAAATAGAAACATTCGCTACAATAGAACAAATCGATTTGTTAACCTATTTTTACAGCCATTCCGCATAACGATACTAAGAATGGCTTTTCAATTGTGTTGCTTTATTTTTCAGTTCATACAAGCATTCATCGTCTAATTTTCTTCACCATATAACTTTGGTTTACCCTGTATATGTAATTTGTTGAATGATTTTACATTATAATGAAATAATAAATTAAACTTCTATGTTTAACAACTTTTCATTTTTCTCTATCATAAAAACTCACCTGCCTTTGTTTTATACAAAAACCTATCTGTTCGTACTGGAATATAAAATAGGTTTTATTGTGTTGATTTTTCTTTCCCAGGGATTGTGCCAGAAGCTGTTATACAAAAACTTAACGATTTCAGGCACAAATTTGACAAAATTTGTATTTGAACCCAAGAGCAAATACTAATTTCCTTCCCTAAACAATCAGCAGGAGGTTTGCAGTAAAGTTAAACTTCAAATATATTTCTTCGATTTTTACAGAAACTATTAATTACTAGCAGATGAGCCCGGCGTTACCCGAGCAAAAAATAACAACACCAAAGATTAAGATTATTAATTCTATTATATTACAGTACAGTAATTGGTTTATATAACTACGAAGGTTATCGCACGTAAGGTTTAATCACACCAAGTACTCAATCGAACACATTTTAAAAATTCTTTATTACTGTACTGTACATAATTTAAAGAATTTTTTAAATGTGTTCGATTGGCTACAGGTTTAATTAACCTTATAGTATTTTTTTTAAATACGTACAAATCAAATATGATAATATAACGAACATTAAAACAATAAACCATATAAAGAGTTTGGTTATTTCAACCTATTATTGTCACGTTTATTGCAATTCTCGGAGAGTACGAAATGGTACAGTTTAATTTGTCAAGTACACATCAATTAAAAATATATCTACAGCTTTTCAGCTATCTTATTGACAAGACTATGTTTTGTTTATAAAATCGCGGTGCTGTTCTGTGTTACCAGCTCTTTTTATTATTTGTGATTTTGGGCTCTTTACCACTCAGAGACCACAAAACACCATTATGTTATCAGCTTAGAGATATGAAGGAGTACTGTACATGTCAGGAGTGTCAATTTGGCACATAGTATTAGGTGCTAAAATCATGTGCGCATACAAAAACCAGACTTGTAGGTACTCCGGGAACCGAGAACTGAGTTAGAATAAAATACAAAATGGCCAAACTTTACAAACAGGTATTAGTGCGAGATTTGCACATGCGTTGCTTATTGGGAAGTAGGAGATGTAAACGTTGCAAAATCGAATTTTGACAAACGAATCTTTGAGAAAACCCATTTACCTGTCCCGTGTTATTCCGGATATATATTTGGTCACGCCGTGCTGACTTTGACCGTTTGACCCGAGATATCTCGTTTCTGCATCTGAATATTTTTGAAAGTAGATGGCACAAGTCGTTATAATTTTATATTAAAACTAACTTCTAAAATATAATTATTTTTCTTTCACATTTATTTATATATATATA